GCACCGCAGAGAAGGTGGTGACCGCGAGATGGTCGATATCCTGTCATTGGTTTTGCACCATGATGAGAATGCCGTTCTGTGTGCCGTAGAATTGGCGTTGGAGGCTGGCGTGCCAACCAAAACCCACATTCTGAACTTGTTGCACCGGCTGATAGACGGAACGCACACTGATCTCCCAGAGGTCGATCCACCTGATGCACTCGCATTGGAAACAGCGCCAAAGGCAAACGTGGACCGCTATGATGATCTGAGACAGGCTGGGGGCAAGTACCATGCGTCATGACCCAGCAGGAGCCTCAATCGTGATCATGCTGCGCAGTCTCAAGCTCTATGGCATGGCAAACGCCGTAGAAGATTTGGTCGCCCAAGGCGGGCCTTCTTTTGAGGCCGCAACACCTATGTTGTCCCAACTGCTCAAAGCGGAGATTGCCGAAAGGGAAGTGCGCTCAATCACATACCAGACAAAGGTGGCCCGCTTTCCGTCATACAAGGACCTCGCAGGCTTTGAGTTCAAATCTAGTGACATCAATGAAGCGACCGTCAAGCAACTGCATCGGTGCGAGTTCATGGAGAACGCTGAGAACGTCGTGCTCATCGGCGGGCCTGGAACGGGCAAAAGCCATGTCGCGACCGCCATCGGTGTTCAGGCCATTGAACATCACAGGTGCAAGGTCCGCTTCTACTCAACCGTCGAACTGGTCAACGCGCTAGAACAGGAAAAGGCGCTCGGCAAGACCGGAAAGATGGCAGAGATGATGACCAAAATTGACCTCGTGATTTTGGATGAACTTGGCTACTTGCCGTTCAGTCCATCCGGCGGCGCACTACTGTTCTATCTACTGAGCAAACTCTACGAGCGGACCAGCGTCATCATAACCACCAACCTCAGCTTCTCAGAATGGGCCCAGGTCTTTGGAGATGCAAAGATGACAACCGCGCTTCTGGATCGCCTCACACACCGCTGCCACATCCTGGAAACTGGAAACGACAGCTACCGCTTCAAAGCCAGCTCAGAGGCTGCAAAGAAAAAACGAAAGGACAAGCCAACATTGACCAACACGTAACCGCTGATACATAAACAAAGGTGGGTCAAATCTCGGTGAAAATACCGGGTCAGTTCTCAGCGCAAATCAACAGTCTTCGGAATATGTCAGACCAGCTGCATCTGTAACTTGAACAGTGATCGTGTGAGTGTCTGCACGTTCATGATCGAGTTTTGCACCATCGCTGACCCGTATTTCATCTCCGACAATCTCGAAATAACCGGAAGGATCGTTCGTGATAGAGTAGGTATGACTGTCTCCGGCGTCTTTGTCCGTCGTTGAAAGGGTAGCCACGACAGCGCCCGCCGAGCTGTTCTCATCGATTGCCCCGCCGGCAGTTTCAATATCGGTTGGTGTCTCGTCGATTATATTGGTGACGTCGATGGAAAAAGTTTCTTCAGACCTGGATCCGTCTGTCGATTCGGCGGTCACGGTGATGTCGATCGAGCCTTCACTCTCCGCATCAAACTTGACCCCGTCCGCGATCGTGACGACACCATCACCTGAAACTACGAAGCGGTTGTCATCCACCGAGTAAGTCACAGTGTCGGAGACATCAGCGTCCGCGGAAAAGGCTGTGATACCGACGATATCGCCAGCAGCGGCATTTTCAGCGATGGAATTGTCAGTCGCATCCGTATCAACGACCAGGGAAGCGGCAAACTCGTTGATATCCGAAACAGCAAGGTTGAAGACCTGCGATGAGGTTGACCCATCGCTGGAGATAGCGGTTACCGTGAATGAAATGTCACCTTCGGTATCGGCATCGAACGTCGCGCCTCCGGCAACGGTGACAACGCCGTCATCGTCGATTTCAAATCTGGGATCATCAATCTGGTAGCGAACGGAAGCCGTTGCATCTGGATCGCTCGCATGTGCGGTTATGCCGACCGTGGCCCCTTGGGACACATTTTCTGCGATTTCGTTAGCCGAGTCGTCAATATCGGATACGGCCGACACATCGCTTTCATCGACATCGCCAATCGCGATCGTAAACGTTTCCGATCTCGACGCACCGTCCTGCGCTGTTGCAAGAACCACAATGTCGTGTGTTCCGGCGGTTTCTGCATCCAGCTCGCCGGCTACCGTCACCACACCCGTATCGGGATCGATCGCGAACAATCCTCCCGCATCATCAAGCAGGCTGTAAGTCACACTTGATCCATCGGACGAATCCGAATTTGCGGTGATACCTATTGCCGAGCCGATCGCGGCATCCTCATCTACCGAATTCTGGGTACCGTCCACGTCTGTGAGGGGGGACAGCTCCGAAGCTGTCGCTTCCGGTGTCCTGGTCACATCTTCGGACTTGCCCTCCGACTGCCCCGAAGAGGTCGGAACGCCGCTCGGAGTGCCAAACTCCGGCTGCGATTGTAGTTGTTCGCTGGAAGCTTGCTGAAGAATGGGCTCGGTGACACGCGGGGTCGAACCGTTCTGCTGGATTTCCGAGGTCTGTGCGTTGCCCTTCAGGGTTTCATCCGGCGCAATCGCAAGTCCTGACACGCCGTTTGCGATCTGCCCGGCATCATTCTGGGTGTCGGCAATGGGGGTGGAGGGGAGATCGGAACTGGCTGTTGAATCCCTCGAGAGATCAGAAGTATTTTCGGAGTTGTGGGTTTCTTCGCCGCGGTTCGGTTCACCCTCATGGCTGCCGAGATGAAGATTGGCGTTCACCTGTTCGTTGGATACGCCCATATCCTGGTCCAGGTGATAGTCGTGGGCCTTGCCCAAATGCTCGTTCCCGGTATCAAGCATTCCGGAATGAAGATAGTCATCGGAACTCACGGTCGAACCGGATCCGCCGTTTTCCTCATCTGGCTGCTTGTTGTTTTTGGGATCCCGGGTTTCGGAGTCGTTTGCCATTCGGTCGCCTGTCCGCACATTTTCCGATAATGACACTGAACGACGGCGTTCTTAACAAAGCGAAAAAGTTTGAGCAGAAACTTTCGAATTGTTGGAAATATATTTCTGAAAACACCCTATAAGGTAAACTGTTTTTAAACCGGAGCACCACACTTTGTGTAGGCGTGGACATCACTCTGGCTAACTTATGTTGAAATCAATCCTTTCGTCTTTCTTTCTGCCCCGCATGAGGGTGAAGCATTCGCCGAGCGACAAGTGGATTTCATCACCACGGTTGCCGCGCGACGTCATCGTCGGCTCGATATTTGCAAACATTCTTGGTCTGGCGATGCCGCTCGCCATTTTGCAGGTCTATGATCGGGTGCTGCCGAACGCCGCTACCGACACACTTCTTGTCCTGATGCTTGGCGTGGTGTGCGTACTTGCAGCAGACGGCGTTATCAAGGTCGCGCGTGCTGCGGTCGTTGGCCGTCTTGGAGCCAGCTTCAACCACCAGGCCCACAAAGAACTGTTCCGGCGTGTGCTGGACGCAAAACCAGAGCGCTTTGCCAAAACCCCCGTGTCCGTTCAGGTGCATCAGCTCAGGTCGCTTCAATCGATCGCAGACCATTACGGAGATCAGGGAAGGCTTCTTGCGATCGATCTTCCCGCAGGCAGTATCTATCTCGCTGTGCTGATCTTCATTGCAGGGCCGCTTGCCATCGTTCCTGTTGCGCTACTCGGCATCTTTATTCTGTTTGCGGTCAATCGGAACAGAGTGTTGCAGAAACTGGTTGCAGACCGAGCCACGCAGGACGACAGGAAATCCGATTTTATCCTCGAAGTGTTGTCCGGTGCAAAAACCGTGAAATCGCAGGCGATGGAATCGCTGATTATGCGGCGCTTTGAACGTTTGCAGAAAGAAACCGCCAAACTGAGCGCGAGATACATGCGGTTGGCGGGCCAGGCGAGAGACGCGTCAACGCTCTTTGCAACCATGACAACGGTCTTTGTCGTTCTTTTCGGCGCTGCCATGGTCATAAACAACGAATTCAGCATAGGTGGCGTGGCAGCAAGCACGCTGCTTTCCGGCCAGTTTGTTCAACCGTTTTTGCGCGCGATCAATCAACTCACCGACATGCAGCGCTTGAGACACGATTACAATCACGTAGAAAACTTGTTCGAACTGCCCGAGGTGGAGCAAAACCAGGCAGGTAGCATCGATCCGGACGGCTCGATGGAACTGGTCGATGCCTCATTGGAAAATCAGGTTGGACGCAGACCGTTGCTCTCGGGTCTGGATCTGAAAATCAATCCCGGTGAGTTCGTCGGTTTTAGGGACACGAACGGAAACGGCAAATCGAGCCTGATGAAACTCTTTTCCGGCGAGCAATCGCCGACGCGTGGCAAGGTGCTCGTTGGCGGGTATGATTTTTCGGGCCCATACAAACAGACGCTTCGCAAATCGGTCGCCTATGTCGACAGTAAATCGGCCGTCTTCAACGGAACAATTCTCGAGAACATAACCATGTTCGGTGCTGTTTCGGATATTGCGCATGCAAGGATGGCGGCAAAGCTTATCGGTCTTGAGAAGGAAATTCACCTTCTGCCAAAGGGTTATGACACCCAGATAGGTGCCGATCTGGGTGGAAAGGTTCCTGCATCCACCGTGCAGAGGATCTGCATTGCCCGGGCGCTGGCTGGCGAACCGAAAATACTCATTCTCGACGAAGCAAATGCACTTTTGGATCAACGCGCCGAAAAGGCACTTGTGGAGGCTCTGAAGCGCCTGAAGGGCTCCCTGACCGTTGTCATCGTAAGTCACCGGCCATCGATGCTTGCGATCGCGGATCGCCAGATAGAACTCAAGAATGGCCAACTACACGAACTTGCCGGCGATACCGGCACCTCTCAATCGAGAAATGTGGGAATTTCAGCGTGACCCGTGCGCTTTTTGATCTGGATGACTTGAATCCGCAGACAAACCCGGTTCACCGGCAATGGAATGAATTGTCAGATGAGCTGAATCCCTCATTGGCGAACGACACGGCATTCAGCAGGTTGAGTGAAGGCACCACACCGGCCGAAAGGTGCCTTGTGCCGCTTTTGCGCGAGATGAACTGGCAGGGGAACGATCGTCTGCTGTTTGAAGCGCTTCCCCACTTCGACCGGATTGAAACTATTGAGGACTTTCGGATCGTTCTGAACCGGATCAATGTTTCTTCGAAGTTATATCGCGGCAAAGCCACGGAACTCACGGAAGCCCAGCTTCCCTGTTTGCGGGTGACACACAACGACATTCAGGTTCTGGCCAGCAAGACCGAAAATGGAGAGTTCAGGGCCTATTCCGGTGAGACGGGCCAAGCGGTTGTCTTGACGGCAAGGGAGGTTGCCCGGCAGGACGTATACGTCGTTTCCGAAGAACGGGAAGAAAACAGCCAGGTCAAGGGCAATCGCAGCTGGTCATCGAGTGCATCGAAGCAATTCAGGGCCAGCATTGTCTCCATTCTCGCAATCGGATTTGTTCTTAACATCGTCGCACTTGGGCCTCCCTTGTTCATAATGGCTATCTACGACAAGGCCATGGGCGCAAAATCCATAGACGTTCTGATCACGATGGCTGTCGGGATCGGTATTGTTCTGCTTAGCGAAATAGCGCTTCGACGAACAAAAAACGTTCTGCAGTCCTATCTCGGTGGACGAATTGACGCCATCGTCGGGAACATGACATTCGAACGCATTCTGCATCTGCCCTATGCCATGCTGTCGGAAGCACCTATCGGAACGCAGATCATGCGTTTGCGTTATTTCGACAGTGTGCGTGATATGTTTCAGAGTTCGCTTTTCAACGCGGTCATCGATCTTCCGTTTACGCTGATCTTCATCGTTGCGATCTTCCTGATCGGTGGACCTGTGGCTCTGCCACCGCTCGCCCTTCTCACGATCTATGCCCTGATTGCGGTCTATGTACTGCCAAAGGTTCAGCGCGAGGTCGCTGCCGTCGGAGAGCAGAAATCGAAACTGAACAGTTTCATGATCGAGACCTTCCGGAACCAGCGCGCGCTGCGGAACCTGTCTGTGGAAGACACCTGGCTGGACAGGTTTTCCAACCTATCGGCCAGTTTCAACAGGCTCAATATTCACGCCCGCAACCTGACGCATTTGCTGCAAACGATTTCCCAGACACTCATGACAGTCTGCGGCGTTCTTGTACTTGGAATAGGCGCAATGCAGGTCATGAACGACAACATGAGTCTGGGTGCCCTGATCGCAACGATGGCGTTGTCTTGGCGTGTTCTCAATCCGATGAACCAGGCCTTCCTGAGCATAACGCAGCTAGCCCAGAGCAGAACGGTTCTGGAGCAGATCGACAATCTGATGAAAGTGCCGCTCGAGCGTGAACCGGGCCACATGTCCAAGATCACCCGCGATGTGCAAGGTGACCTGAAGATTTCTTCTCTCGTTCTGAGATATCCAGGTGCAACGGAGGCGTCTTTGAAAGGTGTCGACCTGACAGTGCAACAGGGGGAAATGATCGCCATCACCGGACCGAGCGGTTCCGGCAAGTCGACGCTTTTCCAGGCAATCACCGGTCTTTTCCAGCCGCAGGTCGGCTCGATACTGTTTGACGGTCTCGATGTGCGCCAGCTGGATGCCGGTGAATGGCGCTCCAAAATCGGATATGCGACCGATGATTTTGATTTCTTTTATGGAACGGTCAAGCAGAACCTTCTGCTCTCGGAACCTGGAGCGAGCGACATCCGTTTGAAGGAAATCGCAGAAAAGCTTGGATTGCTGCAGTATCTGAACGACAACTTCGAGGGTCTCGAAACACGCCTGAACGGGGAAATTCTCAAACAGATCCCGGACAACATGAAGCAGCGGATTGTGCTGGCCCGTGCGCTTGTCAAGGACGTGCCCCTCTATCTGTTTGACAACCCGGGAACGCATCTGGATTTCGATGGCGATCGTAAATTCATGGACATGATGCAGGCGCTTCATGGCAAGGCGACCATCCTGATCAACACCCAGCGTCCAAGTCACATGAAAATGGCCGATCGTGTTGTGGTCTTCAATGCGGGCCAGATCGCAATGATGGGGCCGCCGTCTCAGGTTGTACCTGTTCTGATGGGACAGACCGCCAAGGCCGGGTAACCGGCGCGCACTCGGGTACACGCGCCGGCAAGGTTTTCTCAGGATGAGCCGGCTGCACGGATTTGGGAAGCTGTTTGCTGAAACACCGGTCCGGCAACAATTGCATCCGCATAAGCGAGCCCGAGTTTCTGACCTTCAGACACGTCCATCGGGTAGTGCACGCCTGCAACGACACGCCCATGTCCGATGCGAGTCGCAAGATCCATAAGTTCATCGCTTTTTTCGGGAAAGATTTCTGCGAGCAGCCTCGCATATACGACGGCTCGAATGGAATGTCCGCTCGGATAAGACGCAACAGGCCGCGCATCGCCAAGGGGCTCGACAGCCGAGCTGATTTCAAACGGACGCGGATAATCATAAATGCCTTTGACGGCGTCATAATCTGCCCGGACTTCGTCGATTGCGTTGTCGATCAACACTTTCAGGGCAGGGCCGTCGACTTCAAAGATCGCACCGCCGACAACAGGTGCAAACCTTTCAAGATCGAGTGTTGTTTCCACGAATTCCGTTTGCTGCGGTGTTCGGGTTTCCTGCAGCCAAAGTACGGTAGACATCTCCTCGTGGAATTTCGGCGTTCCAAGCGCAGGGGGGGCCTTGATCATGCCCGTTGAATCCACACTTGCGGCGGGTAACAACGAATTCACAAGCTCAGAAGCCTGCACTTGCGCAGCTGACACGATGAATACGACCGCGAAGGCGGACAGGGTTCCAGTCATTCCTCTCATTTTGGTTCACTTTCTCTCTGGATTTCGGTTCAAGTTGCCGATGAGTGCCATCTGTTTCAGAGATGAGTGAGTTCTAAGGAAATACAAATTAAGAAATAGCAATCTCGCGTTTGGAAGATTATCAAATCGATTGAAATCTCAAAGTATAAAATTGATATTTCATCATGGATAATACATGATTTATTGAAAAAACTATCGTGGATTCAAATCAGGAAGATTTTGCACTTCAGTATTTCGACGGGAATTTAGTACACCATCGCGGGTCGATCTTGCAGCAGTGAGCAAGTGATCCCAGGATTTCCTGCTTTCGCCGGATGATTTCGGCACCTGTCTGGAGAAAGAGAGCGCACAGCATTGATGGAAGGCCAGATTGTATGCCGACCAGTCACAGTTCGGAACCTTTCGCTCGACGGTACGCTGCCAGTCCAGGCTGCGTCTCATCAACAGGCTCAGGTCACGTGACCTGATCGCAGCGACGAGCATTTTGAACAAGTATCCTTCCGTGGCCCGGTGTCGGTTTTTGAGTTCCCTCGCGTAGGCCGTCAACAATGACGCATATCTGCGCCAGACGAAGAAAGCAGCAAAACCAATCAGGACCACAAACATGGCCGATCCGAAAAGGCGCCTCCAGTCAATTGCAGCCGATTTTGGCTGTGGTTCGGGAACGGCTGTCCCGGTCACGTTTATGGAGATTGCAGGCGCTGCAATCGACTCGATCTTGCCGCTTTTCAGATTGAACCAGGATAGTGTTGCTTCCGGAACCGTGTAGCTGCCATCCGCTTCGGCGACCAGAACGGTTTCTTCCGTTCTAGTTCCAGAGAGAAGTCCGCGATCTTCTCTCTCCTCAAGAACAGGTTCTTTCGGATAGACGGCCAATCCGCCGGTCTCAATGTTCTGACCGAAGGGAGGCACGAACATGGGCGCCACACCCGCTACGTTGACGACCGTTGTGAGTGTCAGGGCATCGCCTACACCCATTTCCTGCGGATTACCTTCAACGGACCGCTCCATGGTGACCGAATTGGCTGCAAGGAACGGATCGAGTTTTTCGGAGCCAGGTGGAATCTGACCGGTTATTTCAAAGCTGTCTGTCGTGACCTCCGTGACGACCGGCTCCTGAGTATCAGGATCTGAGTATGTGATTTTGATACGACCGGCAGGTATTTGATAGGTGCCCGCGATCATCGGGTAGAGCCTGTACGAACGCGTAACACCAGACCAGGTTTCCCCGCCAATTGTCTCGCTGGCAGGACCTGAAGCTCTGGAAGGCAGGCGAACGACAACGTTGGGTGCTTCGTAGCTTGGAAATTCGGGAGGTGAGGGCAGCCAGGTCGGGACCAGAACGGTAACACGGTAAAGCAGCGGTTGACCGGGAACGGCCGTGTCGTTTTCCAGTGACGTTCTGACCTCGGGAACCTGACCGTCCTGTGCGGCGACCGGTACACCAGTCAGCATGAAAAAAACATTGAGAAGCAGCGCATATCTCATTGCGACCCCCTTGCGTTTTCAAGCGCAAATCTGCTCTTCAGAAAGTCGCCGGTTCGTGTGTCGACCGTACGCATCCATTGGTCTGCAGTCTCCGGCACAGCCTCGCCGGCTTGCTGCTGGGTTTCCGTCCCGCGTCCCGCTTCATTGTCGTAAACCGTGTCATCGGCACCAATGCCGCTTTCTTCGCTGGTATCTGATTGTTCTCGCGTGGTTTCAATGTATTCCAGAATGTACTCGGCCAGCTCCAGATTCCTTTGAGCTGCCTCGTTGAGGGGATCTCTGTCGACCGCCTTTTGAAACGCGGCAATGGACTGCCGGTAAGCACGCGACTTGATCAGGGACATGCCTTCACCCAGTGCAGCGTCTGAACTTTCCTGCCAGGCATATAGTTCTGCCGCTTCTTCATACCTGCCAAGTTTATAAAGCGAATAGGCTTTCCGCTCGGGGTCCTGAAAGAGCTCGGACGCTTTCTCGTACTCCTTCGCGTCAAATGCCATTTGGCCTTGTTGATCGGGAGTGAAAAACCAGTCGCGCCAACCTTCCGCATGTGCGTTGGAAGGTGGTTGAAACAGGAATGCCAGGAACAGGATCGCAGACCATCGCATGGTCCAGCCACGTCTGAACCAGAAGAGCAACAGAAGAGCGGCCGGCCAGGCAACCAGCACTCCCTGGTCGCGCCATTTCGCATCCTCATCCTGAGAAAGCGCGGCCTGATACGTCGTGTCGATGTTGCGAATGATCTGTTGAACATCCCGCGCATCAGCCGTCACGGTGACTGCTTGTCCAACCCCTAGCCCGGACGGAGTATCAACTGGCTTTGGATCACGGCTGAAGACCCAGAAATGGAGGGGCGTGTGCGTTTCCGTGTTCCCCTTGGCAATCATGGCCGCATCAGAATTTGAAATGCCATCGAGAAGAAACAGGATCGAGCCCGGTTCCGTCTGCGTTTGCAGAATGGTCTGAGCAAGTATCAGCGCTTCTCCTGCAGCATCACCTTCCTGAGGCATCACCTGCGGGTCCAGACCCTCCAGAAACGGCTTGATCACGCCGGGGTCCTCGGTAAGCGGAACCACCTGATGCGCCGATCCTGCATAGGCAATGAGCGCGGTCCTTGCCCCGGCTCGGTCCTTCAGCAGATCCAGGATTTTCTGCTTGGCGCGTTCCAACCTGTTTGGTGGCACGTCGGGTTGCATCATCGAGTCGGAAACCTTGAGTGCAATAACGAGCGGAGCCGTATCTGACACGAGTGGGTTTGGGACACGAGACCAGGTGGGACCGGCCGTTGCGACCGCCAACAGGCACAAGATCATTGCGATCGTATCAACAGGCTGCAAGCGCCGCCGGTCTTCCTGGCCGATAGTCAGCGCGGCTGCAAGATGCGGAGCTATGACAGAAGGAAGCTCAAACCGGCGAGACGGACGAACCCTCACGAGCCAAAACAGCAATCCGATTGCCGGCAGTGCCAGCAGCCACCACGGCCGTAGAAAATGGAACGCTTCGAATTGTTGGAAAAGCTGATCGGTGCTCACACTGTCCTCCTCTTGAGGGAATTCAGCTGGAGCAGCAACAGCGTCATCAGTCCAATAAGGAGTGCAAGTCCGAGAAAATAGTGCCCCAGTGGCTCGCGGGGGCGGTAGCTGGCTGTCTCGACTTCACGCGGCGCAAGTTCGTTGATACGCTCGTAAATAGCGCTCAGCGCAGTTTCGTCATTGGCGAAATAGTACCCTCCGCCTGCCGCGCTGGCGATCTCGCGCAAACTCTGCTCATCAAGTCGCTGTTCGCCGGAACCTTCGGGATCTCCGACGCCTATCGTGAGAATTTCAATACCTTCACTCGATGCAATTCCCGCCGCATTTCTGGGCGCCATGCGACTTCCCGTGTCGGATCCGTCACTTAGCAATATCAGCAATCGCTGATCAATCTGACTGGACTGGAAGGTTCTGATCGCTAGCCCGATGGCATCACCTATGACCGTCTGGGGTCCTGCCATCCCGACTTCGGTCTGATCAAGCAACGCTCTGACGGAAACAAGGTCCTCGGTGAAGGGAGCCTGTACATAAGCCTTCGATCCAAAGACGATAAGGGCTACGCGGTCCCCATCGCGCTCGGTGATAAAATCGCCGACAACCTGCTTTACCGCGTCGAGCCTCTGGATCCTTTCACCATCAGTTGTTTGAAAGTCGGTCTGGTCCATGGACCCGGAGATGTCTATGGCAAGCATGACATCTCGCGCAGCCGATTCCTGGAAAACAGGTTCACCGACCCGAACGGGTTGAGCCAGGGAGCAGACGAGCAGACACCAGACAAGAATCGCGGCCACGCTTTGAATCATGGTGCGGCCAATTACGACCGACCCTGGGGTAGGTTCCTGTCCTGCAGCCGAGGCGAGATTGCGGAAAAACGGAAATCTTACGGATGAAACGCGTTCCTTGTAGGATGGCAGCAGAAAATAGACGGCGAGTGGCAGTGGAAGCATCAGGAGGACAATGGGCAGTTCGAATTCAGACATCAAAGCCCTCAATTCGGTGCTGTTTGATCCATTCCTCAACAAGTGACGCGACCGTCGTGTCAGCGGGCATGTGTTGGTAAGGCCCCATACTCAGGACCTGGCCAGGTCCATTGGAAAACCCTTCACCACCATAGGTGCTATCGAGGAAACGCAACCATTCCTTGCCAAACAACGAGGCGACGGTTGCTCTTGGATAGGCCGCAAGCGCAGTTCGTCGCAGCAGGAGGCCCATGGCGGCAGGATCGTTTCTGCAAAGGGCAAGTTCGCTCAAGGCTTCA